TTAAAGTGGTACGACATTCTATTGAATCATATGGGACCACAACACACAAAGGACTTAGATAGTGTTCTTGATCTGATTGTTCGGTATGGTTCTTTATTCTAAGACATTCTTGTTTACTTTTGAGATGGTATTGTTAATGAGTGTGTTATAGATTTGACTTAGATTAACTATTTAATTAAGATTTAGGGTTTAATTAGGATTAAAATACTTTAAATATTGTCAAGCACTGTTTGTGATTATGGTTTTGCAAGTAAAAGATGTTTTAGGATTTTAGTGATTTATTAAATAATATAGAAAGAGCTATAAGTTTTGTTTCCAATTTTACTTTTCATATTAGTTTTGAATCCAATTTCATCCATGATTGTGCCATTACAGTTAAGAATTTTCAAGATTAGGGATTGTGCAATTAATTTAAATTAGTTATTTCTAAATCTATAAATTCATAATTAATAACTTAATTGATAGATTTAACACTTAAATGCTTATTAATTTATAGCATATTTTCTCTTATTATAGTAATGGGGACATTGAGAATTTACCATGGTGGCAATTTTTGCATGAGTAGTAATGACAATCTTAGGTATGTTGGAGGTGAAGTACATGATGAGGATATCAAATATCATCGACTAACTTTGTTGTATATAGAAGAAAAGGTAAAAAGAATTGGATATATGCATTTTAAATATTTGTATTACAAAGATCCTTATGTTGCAAAGTTTGGTGATACACTAAAAGTTACAGCTGATTAAGAGGAACTTCATCACATGCGTTACCTCTTGAATGAAAGGTCAATTATAGATGTATATGTGGAGCATGTATTCCATATGATGCAGTTAATGAAACTAATGATATAAGATTAGGTGTGGTGAATAAGGAAGTAGTAGATAAAGGTACTACTCATTTTTGTGAAAGTACAAGGGTGGAGGGTCCGTAGGTAGGCAATGAGATTTATGTAAATGAGGACATTGGGGATGGCTGTGTCACACAAAATTCACAACCAACCTTAAAGGGTAATGATGTAGCTCATGAAATAGATGCAAACCATAAATGTGATGCAGTTGAGGAATAAGTTCTAAAGGAGACTAATCGTGATGATGATGAATTCTTTGTTGTTGTACATAGTGAGGCAGATGAGGAGGAGGTTCATGATAATGATGAATTCCTTGATGCTCTATACAGTGTTACAGATGATGAGGAGGTGGTTAAAGCCATTAGAAAAGTAAGGGAGCTTGTAAGAAATCAAAAGAAGAGTAGAGCCAGTACAATAAACAATGCAAATGGTGATAGTGCTAGACCAAGCAACACAGTCCATAAGCCCCAAAACATAGATAATGAAGAGGATGAAAGGGTTCTCTCAAAGAGAACAATGAGATATATATCACGATAAGAGATTTTGAAACTCTATGAAAGCCAAATCAAGTTTATAATAGGACCTTGACTTGTTGTTTATGTTGCAACAAAAACCAAAGGTAAAAAACCTTGACACATTGTCTATGACGCAATAAGAACTAGAACTAGAGGTATAAGGTTGATTGACACTACAGCCTTAAACGATTAAGAACGAGAATAATAAGTCAAGTTAAAACACCACAAAAATAATCTTAATAAGTTCTGTAAAGTTCTGGAATGAACCAAAGAGAAAAAGTCTTTCAAAAACTCAAATTCAATATCTGTCTCCCAACTAGGGTTACATGCCCTTTAAATGGAGAAAACTAATCTAATCATAATAGGAAACTAACACCCTAAGCTCTAAACCTAATAACCACGAATTGGGCTTCAAATGAATTAATGTTTAGCTCAAAACTAATACAGAAAATGTGAAAATCACTCAAAATAATTTAAAATAACATGAAATATCAGCTTGCTACAAATTGCAGCAGAATTATGCGACTTTGACGCAAACTATGTAATTCAACACAAATAACCTCAACTAAGCTTCTCTTGAACTTGAATGATGTGTACCATGTCTTGATAATCATCCAAGTTTTGATTTACTTGTTGCATATTGTTTTCAACCTAGATCTGCTC